CCCCCCCAATCATCGGTGAACGAAACTGTGGCAGCTACAACCAGTGTACGACGAGTACGCGGTTCTTACAGCTGACAATGATGATGATGATGATCTCTAGGCCGCACTTTCGCACCGTCATTTTCTTTTATTCCAGTTTGTTCTGCTTTTACTTTATTCAGTCTCATCTAGAGCTGTACTTGCCAGTTGAAGTGATAAAACCGATTACTGTTCGCAAATGCGTCTGTTTTCTGATCTAAGTTTAGCGGTCAATGCATTTTTACTAAAAATTCAAAGTTCTATGGAGGAAGCTACCGACTGAAAAGTCGGCAGATTCCCGACTCTTGCTTAGGCTTTATGAACCCGGAAGCAAGTTAGTTCTTGTGATTGGTCCGATGGGGCGAGATGGCTGGGCAGTTAGAGCGCGAATTCACTGATTGGAAAATCGATGGACCGAACCCGACCTCGGACTCCTGACGTCCTCCGTCTAGGCTTGGGCAACCTAGCAGTATCACAGCCCTCGAGCTTCTTTCGAGTTGCATGGCAGCTAGGCATCGACAAGGGTGTTACATCTAAAAGATTATCTTCGTATCGTTTGATTCTCAGGACAGCTATACACCAAAAGGGCTCTACAGATGAGCGATTATCATACTGTGTTTCGACAGTGTCAGAACTAACTATAAGGTGCCACACACAAGTCAGCCAGATAGGTTCGTTCAGCTGTAGCACCCTTTCGGCGCCTAACTGCCATGGTACCAGAATGCCCAAGCATATACAGGAAAAGTCGAGAGGCATAGGTCAGGTTCGAACCGCGGACCCTCCAGGTAGTAAATTCGCGCTCTAACCACTGAGTTGCCTCGCCCATGAACCTGAGCATCAGACTTGAAATACAATATTAATCGACACAACACAGACATCAAAAACATGACAAATGCGCCAAGGATAGACTGGAGCTTAATGTGAGTATTTGTGCAATTTCGTTGCCCATTGACCTATACCTAGAGATGTGCGTGCGACACTGGCAGAGTATCTCATACCGGGTAATTCAATAGTTAGAGGTTTGAAGAACACAGTCTACAGCCGCTTCAGGTGTGTGTGGAGGGGGGAACCTATGTCACTATTTATCCTTCAATAATGGTAGTGCATCTCAATTCTCCGCCAAACACCCCTCCCTCGTGTTAAGGCGGTCGGGTCAACACCTGTGGTCGATGACCCTAATCATCTGCCTATCTAGGTATAGGCGTCAGATCAGCATCCCAGTCCAGTAAACCATTAAACGATAACTAAAACAAACATGCGAAATCGGCCATCGTGCGGTAACCAGTCGTGGCACCCTAATCGCCGCATACGCCAGAATGGATAGGAAAGGCTGCTGCGGACGCCTCCCTTCTCTTTCGTTCATTAATAATCCAACTTCCATCGCCGGCATCCAGTTGATAACCCTGGACTTGTAGGCCTAATAGTTAGGATGACAACGCTATTCGGATTGCACCGGTTTTGTCAACATCATCACCAGAGACAACAAATCAGTGTTGACACTGGTGCTTTACTACTGCTCATGCATAAAGTTTACCCAATTATATTTAAAACCTGAGAGTTAAAAGAGAAAGAGAGTAGGTGAGGGAGGGGACCCAATGCGGATCCGTGTCGAGTATTCTGAGGTGCCAGCACCTCCAAGTGCTCAGTCAGACAATCCGGAAAAGAACTGACATCACGAACATCAGCGGCGTCGATCAGCCGCCATTTCTTGCAATGTCTTCAGCCAAGCGCAGAAGCGGTCGCGGGGAGCCAATCCTGGAAGGTGTGCAACACCAACAACACCCAAATCCCCTCAGTCCCTTTGACACCATTCTGCTAAGTCACACGTTTCCCACCTTGTGGTTTGCGCCATTATGAAGGGGGCACAAAAAGCGCAATTCGTCTCGACATGCGTGGAACACGGTCAAGCCATCATATTCGATGGTGGTGAACACTGTCCGAGATTGCGATACTAGCTGTACGACAAAATACCCGTTTTCAAATCAATTTAATTCAATCCAAATACCATAGAAACGACGATTGTCCTACGAAGTGGTGCGTGAGTTCCCCAATTCTGCACCTATCTCCCAAATCGGAACCGTTGCAGCCTCGCATAACAACGAAGGGAAAAGTCAAGAAAATCACAAGTGTTTTATTCGGTGTTGACGAGCATGAGTAAAGTGTACATGTAGAAATTTCTAGTTTCGACGGCGATTTTTGCGTGTGGGAGTTTCAGCAGTATCATCAACTTTCACTTCATCACCAATTTTCAGTCCAGCCGCGTCGTCAGTCGAACGCAAGGATTTCCGAAGTCGTTTTGGGTGAGGAGCATCTGTGTGGGTGTACAAACAACAGATAAAAAATGCTGTTAGACAGACAAAAGAAATGAGGAGCGAGTCTATGGTGAACAATATTGTAATGACACAAACAGCGCATAGTTAAGTGATGCTTCGGACAGCGTAGCGCCTACGGACTTACAGAGTCATTAATAAGAGGGGTGACGCTCATGGGGACTTGCTTTTCCGTTCGCCAGCCTTATTATTTCGGTAGGGTGAAGCGCTTTTATTCATCCAGACATCATTCCCACGCTGCACCCAAGTGATAAAGCATTGAACATTTTCAGTTCTTTTTTGTTCAAGAACATATTTTCGGAACCGCGATCCCCTCTTTTCCAACTCGGTTACTCCAAACCCGAGTTAACATCCAGTTTAGTAGGCCTGATGGGTTGTGCTATTTCAAGCACTTTTCTTTATCATACAGAGGCTTTAACCGGAAATTCACATTTATAACCGGGGGGGGGGGGGGGGAAGGAGCGTATTGTCGGCAGTGACGGGTAAGTGTATTTTATCCCTCTACACTTAACGTGTTTCATGTGACAACTAGTGCGCCTAGTCAAGATGATATGCGGTGCACATCAGACACGAATGGTAGTTCACTGACCTCCATCAAACACAGTGTAATTTGTTTTCTGATTCATCAACATAATCATCACCGGAGAAAACAAATCGGTGTTGACACTGGTGCTTCACTGCTGTTCACGCATAAAATTTACCCAATTATATTTGACACCTGAGAGTTCACAGAAGAAAAAGAGTAAGTGAGGGAGGGGACCCAATGCTGATCCGTGTCGAGTATTCTAAGGTGTCAGCACCTCCAAGCGCTCAGTCAGACAATCCGGAAAGGAACTGACATCACGAACATCAGCGGCGTCGATTAGCCGCCATTTCTTGCAATGTCTCCAGCCAAGCGCAGAAGCGGTCACGGGGACTCAAGCCTGGAAGGCGTAAAACGCCAACAACACACAAACTCTCCTCAACTATTCTGAATGAGGCACGAAAAGCAACACTCGTCTTGGCACACGGTGTTTCGGCATGCGTGGAACACGGTCGATCTATCATATTCGATGATGCTGAACATTATCCGATTGAGATGCAACAAAAATAGCCGTTTTCTAATAAGTTCGATTCAATCGACTTATTAGCTACAAACCATGTACCACTGGCACGTCGGTTCCGGATGGTAGAGTTTCGATCTCTGAAAGTGAGTGTGCTGTGCTTGCTTCACATGTCAATACCTACAGGTTTCAGGGGAATACCACGCTTCCTATGGATAAAATACTGCAGTAGTTTTTTGGGGGAGGACGGACATACAGGCGGTAAACCAGAAGTCGGTAGTCGTTCCGCAACCACTCACCTGAGTCGGATGGACCCGTCGCGCTATCGCCAAAATAAGACTTCACACGTGGAAAAGGTTGGGCTTTGAGCGTGCTAAATTCATCCGGTAAACCGAATTCTCTCATTTTGCTTTGGAAGGGATTCACTTCGGATTCATGCTACAGGAATATGGTAAAACGTAAATCAGACCAACCAGACTGCACCTGACTACTTACCAGTTCGTCCATATTGTATAGGGATTCCAGTTTCTGCCAAATATCATTGGTTGTCAGCGAGGAAGAATGAAGCCGAGAGTTGAGGACAGATTTGATATAGATCATCTGAAAGTGTCGATCTGCACCGACAGGCTTGTATTTCATTATGGCCCGGAATAACTCAATCTCCATTTGTGGGCTCCAGTCCATAGAATGGCCCATTGTGTAGAGCAACCGATTTCAAAGTCACAGGAACATGCGACGTGAAGACTGTAAATGTGTCAGAAACATGATAAACTAAGAATACTCGCGAAATGAAATACGCACTACATTCTTAGGCCATATGCACCCATATTGTGCGACAGAGTCCTACAGCAGCTTATGATCAGAGCTGATTTCATTTATTGGGAGAATAATGACACTGGTATTCTTCGCACAACGATTGGCAGTATGAGTAACCGAAGGTATACCCTATCCCACAGGCTCACGCTTACAGGAATGACAGTGCCGACAAGATCAAAATTGTTGGCTGTGGCATTCGTGTATCCCTACTAAGCTCGCATTCCTCCGTTTGTCTGACAGTTCAATATCTAGTGCCAGCCCATCGGTCTTTGCCCGAAGGTTGCAATCTGGCATCATGGCAGTGGAGCGCGTCCTGTCGATTCTGGACCTCCAAACATCCAGGACATTCTTCACACGTGGAAACCCGTCTCTTGACGCCGTCACCAACAAACAAATCGCGTACCGAACAATCCAAAACAGTGAACTGATCCAACTACGCCGCGAAATAGCCCAAGCGGTTAGAGCGCGACTTTATTGACCGGAAGGTATCTGGTTCTAACCCGACCTCTGCCTCTATTTCCCCTGTCTACGCTTCAGCAAGCTGGCAGTATACCAGCCCTCGTGCAACATTCGGGTGGCATGGAAGTTGGGCACAGAAAGAGTGCTACAGCTGAACTACGCCGCCATACAAACCTTATAGCATCAGAGGTGGAAAGATGCAGTGCCTGCTGCGTTGGATGTCATTGGAGGAATTTCAGGGAGGAATCAGTGGTCTAACTTAGAACAGTGAAAAGTACTGGATACTGTTGCCCTATGCATCAGAACATATAAAGCAGACAGGTTAGGTCCCAATAATCAGAGTCTTACGTGGAGGCTGCACTCCCATCCTAGGTCATAAATGTTGTAGCAGTTCTCCCCAACCTGAGGTCCCTTGCCACACAGGAGGTTAATTGGTGTATCAGGTATAAACCAAGTACTATGGATACAGTGGTTCCAGCTGCTACAGATATAATTGCCGGAGACTTAGATCTGGAACTGGACAGCTAGGCAGCGAAGGCGTCAACGCTAGTGCATGAGCGCCAGACTTGGCGAATGGGCCTCACGAACTTGCCTCATGGTAACGATATAGTCGATGGGTGTTCGTCCAGGGCAAAATATGGCTTGTTTGTCAGGAACCTGTCTCTCCTGATAGTCGACCAACTTGTGCAAAATCATACGGTAGGGCGCCTTAGAGGCGACGGCCACTAGGCCGACGCTTCGATGGCTTTCGCATTAGGTTCCGTCTGTTTCGCCAATTGTCTCGTGGGTACTGGCCTTTTTTGGCCGGTTGATCAAATCAGCTGAAATAGGATGCAGCTGTTGCCTGCAGTGGAAAACTCCACCACCACATGGGCCTTCGCAACCCACCGGTGTTTTGCCATTCTTCATTCTTTTGATTATCCGGTGTTTGAAGTATCTGAGTGCGCCATCAAGGTGGCAAATGGCTGGTATGGTCAATCTGGCAGAAATGAAACCTGTTAGTCTAGATGATCTCCAGTGTTCATTTAGTCGAGTCGGAATACTTGACAAAATAATTATGGAAACTGGAAAATGAAGGCACAGTTTCAATAAATTGCCTCCACTCAAACTCCAGGCATTATTCGTCATTTCAGTCCGTGACCGTTTCGCGGTTACTGGCCTCCAAGTAACCCGATGTGAGTGGTTGTGGTGGAACAGGTGATGATAAGCACAAGCTGAAGCAGTCGCTCCCCACCGTCCGTGTGCTAAACATAGAATCCAAATCTACCACCTAACTGCGCTTCTTAGTCATCCAACTTGAGTATTCAGATCACCCGAGAGGGCGAATATATCCGTCCATGCCGACAGAAGCAGTCGTGACAGATCTTGACAGAACTCATCCTTCTCAGTTTCAGAACTGCAGTCTGTTGGGGTGTACGCTGACACGGCAAGTAAACACGGTTTACCGCACTTAACTGCGTTAATCTTATTTGAGTCAGAAAACCGCACAGCTCACACGCCACTGTTCATTGGGATCCAGTCCAGTAGGGTGCTTTCAGCCTTGGGGATGAGTGCAACTAACACACCGTAGACACCATGAGCTATTACTTCAAGATCACCAGATCTCCGAAAAGTGAAGCGTCGAACAAACTGAATTGAACTGAACCGAATTCCAGGATGGGTACTAGGTTACTCTCGCTGTCCGATTGAAGACACTGAATGGCGACTAAACATCTGTAGTATAACCTTGGCTGAGATGGAACTGAAGAGATGAGGAACCGAAGTCACTGTTTTCAACCGCATCAAGGATGAATTGTGGGTAACCGAGTTTGAGCATGTCAACGATATCACCGACTGGCCTCAACACAAGGAATTTTGTGATCTAATGGAAGCTACATACGATCGTATGTGTCTGGTGCGTAGATCGATCTACGCACCAGACCAACTTCCAATATCCAGGATTGTGACAGGGGACTGATGTATACATCACCCACAGTAATAGTGAGCAGATGGCGCGTGCAAATCCACGAACTGGCGAATGCACCATAATATGGCCAACAGGGCGCACCAGAGCACTATAAGAAGTTTTCCTTCCTCCAGCATGCTACCAGATTCACGGACTGATACACAGGATCGAGGCTTTTGCTCAAGTTTCCCGGGTCGGTTTTGTTCTTGTCGGTCAGTGACTGTCGTTCACCTGAAAGGCACAAGTGAAAAAAACGTGTAGCACTGCTCTTTATGTTCTCAGCGCGGGGCAGTATGCTTGCCAGCGCGAGGATTCGCGAAGTGGCAAGCCCCAAGAGATACATTTACGATTTGACGCAAGAATCCAAGCCGCATAATATTTAACCCGGTCGTGAGAAATACAAGTCAGTAAAACAGATCAGCCAGTTCGAACAAGAGGGGAGCAAACAACCAGTGTCTATCCCGCACAAGATTGGCCAAAAGTCAGGACGCTTACTGCGACGGCATCAATCCGGAGTCTGATTGGTCCAAAGCCTGCTAATGTGGCGTTTTGTACATTTATTATGTTACCATTATAACACCACGTATTTCATGATAATCGTTTTTTGTTTGAATACGAAACAAACAAAAAACGCGCACTTGTACCATTTCACATAATACAAGCGTGGCCACGTAAATCGACTCTCTCTTCAGATTTTGCTCGCGCTTGCAGCTGTCATTCGCGAGTCTAATGTACTAACTCTGGTACCAAAACATTTCAGACCACCTTCGGAGTCTATTATATGCGGGGACTGTTCAGAAGAACACCTCTGGACCAACATAATTGGATTATTGTTTATTCGCTGACC